TGTGCCCCCCCCCAGGTTGTCACCCGGTGTCCCCCGTGTCCCCCCCAGGCTCCCCCTGCCCGAGGCGTGGCGGGGGCTGCGGGACGAGGCCCTTTCCCAGCTCTCCGGTGTCCCCGGCTGCGTCTTCGTCCACGCCAGCGGCTTCATCGGCGGCAACCGGAGCCGGGAGGGGGCCCTGGAGATGGCACGGCGGGCACTGCGGCACGGGGGGGGCACGCAGAGCGGGTGAGCCCCCCCCTCCCATCGCCGTCACCCCAAAAGGGACCCCCCGGCCCAGCGCGGGGGGTTCCAGGGGCAGCTGGGACTGTTCCTGTAACGGGATCGCAGCGAGATGCTCCAAGGGACCTGCGGGGGTGGGGGGCAGCCCCCCCCCGGGTGGCAGCGTGCCCACCACCCCTGGCACTGGAGGGGCACCAGCCCAGTCAGAGACTTGCTGGCTCCGTTTCCCTGGAGTTTGCTCCCGTTCCTGTATAACCCCCCCACCCCATTCCGAGGGGTTTCCAGCACCAGTAAAGACCAGTGTGTGCCCAGTGGATGCGCTATTGGGGGCCCCGGGGGGGTGGGCAGGGGGTAGGGGTTGCTGTGAGGTGGGTACAGCCACGGGAGCCAGCGCTTCCCCCCGCCCTCCCCGCCCCAATCCCGCGCATCAGCAGCGCTGGGGGGGGGCACAGAGCCCCCCCTCCCGTGCCACCCGTCCTCCCGTGCCACCCGTCCTGCCGTGCCACCCGTCCTCCTTCCCGGGGCAATGCAGGCAGCCTGGCTGCTCCTGCTGGCGCTGGGGCTCCCCGGGCACTGCCGGTGCCCAGGGGGGGCCCCCGGGGCGCTGCCCCCCCACAACGAGACGCTGGGCGGGGCCGGGGGGGCGCGGGCCCCCGACATGGTGGTGCTGGTGGCCGTGGGGGGGTGGCTGGGGGCCCTCCTGCTCTACGTGGGCCGGTTCGTGCGGAGGAGCCGGGCGGAGACGCGGCTGCACCTGGAATACCTGCGGGCACTGCCCTTGGAATACCTGCGGGCACGGCCCCGGGAGGAGGAGGAGGAGGAGCCGCTCAGCGCCTTCCGGGGAGGCAGCACCGGGAGCAAACCGGGCAGTGCCGAGGGGTGAAGCCCCCCCCCCGGTACCGCCCCAGCAGCAGCGGTGGGTTCATCCCCCAGTTTTTCCCCCTGGATCCTCCTCGTGCCTGTGCAGCCCCATGGAGGGGCTGGATGTGGGTGGGGTGGGGGTGGTGGGGGGGACTCTCTGTCCCACCTCGGGATTGGAGGAGCATTTTGGGGGTCCCGGGGGGGTCTTTGGGTTGTGGGGGTGAGCAGGGACCCTGCGCTCTCCCCATTATCCCTGTTATTGCAGTGTAATCCCAGGGATTAACCATATGTAATCCCGGGATTTAACCACGCTGCCTCCCCCCTCATTAATCCCTTCTCTGGGCAAGGAGGGTCCATCTGCTGCCCCCCCCCTTTGGTGCTGGTGGGGGGGCTCACGTGGGCTGGCACGAGCACCCCGGGGACCCTCCAGCCCTGCTCACAACCCGACTGGGCTCAAGTTTGGGGTTTTATGGACCCACAGGGGGTTCAGTTCACCCACAAGGGGAGGCCTGGGGGGCTGTGTGTGCAGCCAAGGACCCCTGAGCCCCCCCTGCCTTCACCTTTCCCCAAAATGTGGCTCTTTAACCCCAAAACAACCTGGCCCCGTGGGCTCACCCCACTGGGCTTCAGCACGGGGAAGTTCTGCAAGTTGACCCTGAGCTCTCTCTGACCCCAAAAAGCAGCTCTGGAGCACCCCCAGACCCACGGAACTTCCAGAACTCACCCCATGGAAAGTTTCCAGCCCCCTCAGGGCAAGGAAAGAGGAGGAGAGGGGGGAAAGATCGGCCTTTATTCGATGCAGACTCTGGGAGACCCCCTCTGCCCCCCAAGGGGTTGAAGGCCGCCAGGGGTCCCAGGAGGAAGATGAGGCTGCCCAGGGAGGAAGAGGAGCCACCAAGGCCCCGGGCTGTGGTCACAGCTCTGAGAAGAGGGGCTGCTCCCTCACACTGGCCACGACGGGGACAGGGCTGCGGTGGGGGCTGGCCAGGGGCACGTGGGCACTGACGAAGAAGAAGGGGATGTGGCTGATCTTCCCCGAGGACCAGCACTGGAAAGGAAGAGGACACGGAAGAAAATGAGGGTCCAAGATCCCGGACACCTTCCCCCCAGCCCGTGTCAGACCACCCAGCACCAAGGGGGGAGCGACTCACCACGGTCAGGAGGGCTCCTCGTGGGAAGCAGGGGTGGAAGGCGATGATCTGGGGCTGGGCACCGCGCTCGCCCCGCACGAACCCGCTGTGGGGGGCAGGAGGAGCCACGGTTATGGCACAGCCACAGAAACACCACACTGCCAGGGCCAAGTGGAGACACCCAGGACCTGACTGGATGCACTGGGCAAGGGAGAACCCAAAGCCAAGGGGCTCGAGGTGGATAATGGCCAACACGGCCAAAACACAATGGGATTCGGAGGTAAAACAGTGACAGGCCCTGAAGTGATGCGGGATGGGGTCTCCCCACGGTGAGGAGGGGCTGCTCTTCCCCACCACACCCCCCAGGGGGGGTTAATGGTACTCAATGAACCCAAACCCACCCAAAACCTGCTGCAAGGAACCCACCCAGTGCCCACCACGACTCACCAGGGCAGGAGCTCGAAGATGGGGCTGTTGCGGGTGCGGAACACGGCGATGGCCGTCTGGCTGCCCGGAGAGTCGGGGTGTCCTGCAGGAGGGAGAGGGGCAGGGAGGCTTTCCTTGCTCCAGGGGCACGTGGACAGGCCCCTCGGTGCCCCTCTTCCTTGCTGGAAGTGGGATCTTCAGGCGGGACTCACCTCTGATGATCACTGCGAGTCTCTCTCCAGTGGGGTCCCACGCCATGGAATGCACCTCTCCTCCAATCCTGGAACCAGCACGAGCAGCAGGGAAGCCCCCAGGATTGGGGGGCACAGACCCCCTTGGCCCCCCAAATGTCCCCCAGGATCAGGGGGCACAGACCCCCTCAGCCCCCCGGGGTCCCCAGCATCGAGGGGCTGCTGCCAAGGGGAGCGGGGTCCCCCTCTGCCCCCCCAGGTGCCACGTCAGACCCACCTCTCGTCCCCGTAGAGCGTCTCAAAGGTGGTCTCGGACAGGTCTGCCACGATCGAGGCTGTTTTGGAGCCCCCCACCTGCCCCTGCATCTCCCCTGAAGGGAACACTCCATAAATCCCACTGAATTGCCCAGATTTCCCATAATTTATCCATTTCTCAGAACAACGTG